GATCCTCAATGTGGGCATTTAACCGAGTAGAAAGTATCATTGGCCCCAGCATGACTGTCTAATCAGGCCCATTAAGGAGCCAGTTGTGCCAACCCTTCATTTTGTTGCACGGATGCAGAATTCTCCCATCTTATCGCAGAGGCTGGCAAACTTTCTCCTCTAAGGACAGATGGTAAACACTTTAGGATTTGTTGACCATGTAGTTTTTTGTCCCAACTATACCATGTGGCCATTGAGCGTAGGTGTGGCTTTGGTCGGGGCTGGGGAGGTAGCTCATTCAGTAAAGTGCATGTCGTGCACTTGTGAGGACCCAAGTTTGACCCCCAGAACCTGCATTAAAAAAGCCAGGTCTGGTGGTGGCACACAGCTGTGATGCCAGGACTCTGGAGGCAGAGATGGGATGATCCCTAGGGCTTGCTGGCCAATTAGGCTAGGTGTGTGGGTAAGCTCTAGGTTCAGTGAGAGACTATCAGAAAATAAGGTTGAGTGAGTGAGGAAGATGCCTGATGCCAACATGAATTCATGTGTGTGTGTGTGTGTGCACGCACACACAAACAAACATAATTGTGTTTCAATAAAACTATTCTTGTAGATGCTAAAATTTCATATTAAAATAAGTGTGTGTGTGTGTGTGTGTGTGTGTGTGTGTGTGTGTGCGCGCGCGCTATCATCAACCTTGACCATCATCCTTCAGCTGTTATCCATCAATTCAGTGAGGCTGACTGGCCAGCAACCTCCAGGAATCTACAGGTCTCTGTCTCTACAGTGCTGGGATTCCAGCTGCCTGCTGCTGCACCTGGCTTTGTATCTGAGTGCCGAATCTGCACTCCAGTCCTCGTATTTTCAAAGCAAACCCTTACCTCCTGAGCCACCTCTCTAGCCCCAAGACTTCTTTATATTAAAAACATAATAAAGGATCCTAAATCCTAGAGAGAACAATTTCATTGTTATATCCCTCAGCCACCCCTTCTCGTACTGGCCAGTTTGGGATTCATGAGTTTCCTAGGTGTGTTCACCACCCAAGGATTCGGGAGAGGGCTATTTATTCGTGAGCACCAGCGAGTAAATCAGGGTGTCACATCCCTTAGGTTTTCTCTTGAGGTTCCCCCTAAGGGCAAGTCCTGCTCTTAGCAATTGTCCATGCATTTCCTTTCCCTCCATGGAAGGAACTGCTGTTGTGAAGAGTCTGGGCTGCTGTGTGCTCCCTCAGCCAGGGGTGCTGTGTGCTATGTCCTTCCTTAACACCTCCTGCAGGATGAGTGGAAGCCTTGAATTTCTCAAAGGATTCAAACAGAGAAAGAAGTGAACTTCACCCAACAGTTCCCTTTAGAAACCCAAATTAGATGTAAAAACATGACTCAGAATCATACTTTCTGAGTCCTCCCAAGCATTTAACTTTGAGGCCGAGGTCAGTTCTAGTATGATAGAAGCATTCTTTTTTTTTTTTTTCCTTTTTCCTTGAGTCTGTGTTACTGAGTGTGCACATGTGTGGGGGTGAATGTGGTGGGTGTTGTTTCTCAGGCACCATCCACCTTTGTGTTTAGACAGGATCTCTCATTGGCCTGGAACTTGCCTGTTAGGCTAGAGTGTCTGGCTTATGAACTTCAGAAACCCATCTTTCTTCTTTTATCTAGTGTTGGGATTTCAGGTGTGCTGCCATGCTTGATTTATTACACAGGTGCTAGGGATCGAACTCGGGTCCTCATGCTTGCACTTTTCTGACAGCCATCTCTCCAGCTCTGAGCACTTATTGGTGGAGTAAGGTGATGGTGGGCTACCATGGTTTAGTGGGGTGTCTGGTATGTAACCCATTTGGAGAACATGTGCACGGGAAGAGGACTGTGACAATGGTTGTCTGAGCAGAGACTGCTTTTCTTCCAGCTGTTCTGTCCCCTGGGATGACTCCCAGGACTTTGTAGAAGTGTGTGATATGAAGAGATGGGCTTGCCCTTCAGACCTCAGGCACCAGAGGACACATGCTTTCCATCTCAAACGGCTTCCACTAGCCCAGCATTATCTTAAAAGTGGAGTCCAGCTTCTTGGAGCTTAGCCTCAGCCTCCTCAGCCACTAAGTGTCTGCTTTTTCAGCTAGCACAGCTGGACTCAGGGAGAATCCATTGAGCAGGGAACAGGGTCAGCCACACCCAGATCAGAATGCACTCTTGAGCAAAGAGGTGGGGGCCCTGGGGATGAGAGGAGGCACAGGGAGGCGGACAAGACAGCGGACTGCATGTTGTCCTGGAGTTTAGTGAGATAACTAGGACACTTGGGTAATTTTAAATTCCATCTTTAGTCAGGGGAGGGAAAAATGCAGGGGACCATTCTCTGGAAGGGATTAAGCCCTGGAGATAGCACATACTCACAGAAAACTGGAAAAAATAAAAAAATATGTGTTTATATGTGTTTATAACCTCAAAATTAATCCCATGCCCTTGATGCTGAAAATATTTCTCTTTGGGCGCAGAAAAGGGCATCTTTCTACTTAACTCTGAGCCTTTTAAAGTAAAAATAACCTTCTACTGAATTATTCTTTTTCCTCTTAAGAGAAAAGAAACACTGCTGGATACTGAACTTGGATCCCCATGCATATTTGGCAAGTACTCTACCACTGAACTGCAGCCAGACCTCTTGTTTTCTTCCTTCCTTCCTTCCTTCCTTCCTTCCTTCCTTCCTTCCTTCCTTTGAGAAAGGGCCTCACTATATAACACAGGCTACATAAATGTACATTAACTTTCCTCCATGAGCCACCATGTCTGTGTCTGTGGAGGCCAGAGGACAGCCCTAGATGCCATCTTTAGCTCTCCATCACCTTTGAGACAGGGTTTCTCGTTTGCTTGAAGCCCACCCATTAGGCCAGGCTGGCTGGTCAGCAAGCTTTAGGGACCCTCCTGTCTGGACCTCCCGAGTGCTGCGAGTCCAAGTGTGCACCACCACTCATAGCACTTCCTGTAGCTTTATGTGGGTTCCCGGGGACTGAACTCAGGTTTTCATCTCCTCAAGGCAAGCCCTTCATGGACCGAACCATCTCTACAACGGTTTTAAAGGAGATTTTAGTGTTCAAGACAGGGGCAATTGATGGGGGAGGTCCTTCCGTGTATATGATTGTCTTATTGGTTGATAAATAAAGTACTGTTGACCAATAGGAAAGCAAGATAGGTGGGACTAGGAGTCAAGGAGGATTCTGGGAAATGTAGGAGAAAGCACAGAGTCACCATGTGAGCCCAGAAGACAGGATGCTTCTGCTGGCACCTGATAAGTCTTATAAAATATATAGATTTATGATAATGAGGACTGAGCTAGAAGATGAGAAATCCTAGTCATTGGCCAAGCAGCATTTGTACCTAATATAAGTCTCTGTGTTACTTGGGACCATAATGTGGCGGCAGGCGAACTTGGGCAGCAGGGCTCTGGCGGCTTGGCGGAAAGACTTATTGTTACTGGCAATGAACTCCCACTGGCTAGAGTAGCAACTCTCAGTCCTAGAAGTGTGATGGAGCCTCCCAAGGAGCTTTCAATGAGTCCAGTGGGAAGGTGCATCCGTGCTCGTTGCTTCTGAACTTGCTGAGCGGGGGCTTTGGATGGACAAGCTTCCCAGGATTTCTACCGGGGCAGCAGGGGCTCATACACCACCAGGTTAGAACCTATTTGTCAGCACAGACTCCAGCAGTCAAATGGCTGCCCCTGATTGCAAGCTAAAAGCCAAACCAGGGGATTTTGAGGGTGGAAATAATAACCCTACGGATAACAGAATTCAACTGTTGTCAGCACTTCCTATTTCTGACAGTGGCTCCCATATGCCAAGAAAACATTGTTTTTTTATATCAAAAAGCCATTTGGTTATATTAAAGCTTTAATGCTTCTTGCCAACGTTGGCATCACGGGAAAGCTGTTAATGCTAGAGGAACAGTGTTTCAATTTAATGTTGTTATTGTTAGTTTCACTGCTGCTTCATGTAACCCAGGCTGGGCTCAAACTTTCTGTGTAACCAAGGTTGGCCTTGAACATCCAATCCTTCCCAGTTCTGAATGGCATGCAGACATTGACATGCCTGGCTTGTGATTTCCTTTAAAACAAGGTTTAAGTTAATATTGTTTGAACTCCCCAGTTCCTTGCATGGGGCCTACCATGTAGCAGTATTCAGAATGACCATATGGGAAGGATCCTGAATCTTCATTGTATAGGGTATGACAGGCAGAATACAAAGATGCCTAAGATTCTAACACCCTATGGTACATGTCCTAGACGACCTCTGTCCTTGGATGTGACCTGAGCTGGTGAATATGATGAGCCAACATTCCCATGGCTATGGTACTACTTGGAAAAGAGGAAGGAATTTTGTCGTTAAAGACCCTAATCAGTTGTCG